GGCTGGGAAGCAGACTGACTGAACAGGAAGGACCTGGGGTTTGAACCTCTGCCCTGAGCTGCTAACATCCCCACCCCCTTCCCCAGGGGGGCGGGGAGGGGGGCTTCTGCCAACCTTCCTTACTGGGGTCCCAGCCTCTGTAGCAAGCCCTCCCCCTCTTCCCCAACAACACATCTTTCTTCACCCTGGAGCTTTGGGAGCCAGACGAAGCAGCTGCCCCTCTCCCTGCCAAAGAGGAATCGTCCCCCAAAAAGATAGAGGGGGAACCCCAAGCCCAGGGTCTCTCCTTCCAGCAGCAGCCCCCACCCCAAGCTCCTTAATTTTACTCTCAGCTAGATTTTAATGCCCAGCCTCCTTCCAGCCCAGCTGGGAAGGCAACCCTACAAAAGGACATGGAAAAGTCCCCCACCACACACAAGGCCCAGAGTTCAAGGCCAGGGTTGCTGGGGAGAGGCTGCCTGTCTTATCCACCCAGCAGCTTCAGCGCCCCCCATCTTGGGTGCCCCTCCTCTAGCTTAGCTGTCAGCTGTCCGTCACCACTTCTCCCCGCCCTCTGTCTGATTTGTGCTTTTCTCTCTCAATAGAAAGATGGGGAGCCACCCCGTTTATCTCCGTATTTGTCCCTCTCAAAACTTCTCCCTGAACCTAGAGGAGCTCTCAGGCCTGGGGTGGGGCCCCAGGTGGGCGTGGGGGCCATTCAACCTGTGTGCTGCGAAGGACGAGACTTCCTCTTGAACAGTGTGCTGTTGTAAACATATTTGAAAACTATTACCAATAAAGTTTTGTTTAAAAAAAAAGTGTCGCTGGTGTTCCTGACTTCGGTCACCCACCCACACACCCCTAGGGGGTTGGAAAGCAAATTTCGGACTTGGGCATCCAGGCTAATCAGGCCCTGGCCTGGACTCCTTGTAAAACCAGGTTTCCCTGGAATTCCACCACTTCTTCCGCCCCGCTAGAGAAGGGGGAGCTAACTGCCCTTTGACCCCGAATTCGGGGTCCCCAAATCTGTGGCGCGCCCCTCTTCGTCCGGCCCAGGACGGAGAGGGCGCTCTAAGGAGACGCTGGGGCTGGCGCGCCGGGAGGCCGAGCAGCGGCGGGGGCGGCTCTGGCAGGAAGAGTAAAGGGGGGGAGCCCGCGCGCGCCCCCCACCCCGCATCTTCTGCGCGGGGCCAGACGCACCAGAGGGGCGCAAGGGCGGCGGCGGCCCGAGGGTCCTCGCAGCGCTCCAGGAGCGCAGCAGCCCAGACCCGCGGGCGGCGAGTTCCCGGTAAGTGCGGTCCCGAGAGCGGAGCGCGCCGGGGAGGCGTGGAGAGGGGGGCTGGGCGCCGGGGACGGCTGGGTCCCGCGCCCAATGGCTGGAGGGCGGCCGAGCGCCGCCCGCCCGCCCTGCCCGCCCCCTCTCCCCTCCCCCCGGCGCTCCCCTCCCCCTCCCCCGCCCGCCGCTTTCCCCCGCCCCCGCCCCGGCGCCAACTCCGCGGCGCCTCCTTAAAAAGCGCGCGGGAGTTGTAAGGGGGGGCCGGAGCGAGCCGGAGTGAACGAGAGCGCAGGGTAAAGGGGGCGGGCGGGGGGCCCGGGCTCCACCTTAAAAGCGGGCGCGTGGGGGTGGGAGGGAGGAAGGCGGGCGGCGGGGAGGAGGGAGGGAGGGAAGGAAGGGGGGCCGGAGTGTCCCGGGCGCAGGGCGCGCGTGCGGCGGCGGCGGCGGCGGGGAGGGGCCGGCCGCGCCGCGCTCCCCTCCTCCCTCCTCGCATCCCCGGCCCCGCGCGCGCCCAGCAGAAGCGGGTCTGTGTGTGCGTGCGTGTGAGTGAGTGAGTGTGTGCATATTTTTTTCTCTTTTCTTTCTCTCACTGTTTTTTCTCTCTCGCTCCCTCGCTCTTTTTTTTTTTTTTTTTTTTTGCAAAGAAACAGCAGCGCCGCCGCCGCTCCGCCGAGGCGCTGCGCCCCCCGGGGGGGGAGGCGGAGGAGGCGGGCAGCGGCGGAGGGAGGAGAGCCGGGGAGGGGGGCGCCGCGCTGGGAGGGAGGCAGCGCGCACGGTGCAGCCGGGCCGGGCGGGAGGCATGGCGGGGCCCCCGGCCCTACCCCCGCCAGAGACGGCGGCGGCCGCCACCACGGCGGCCGCCGCCTCGTCGTCCGCCGCTTCCCCGCACTACCAAGAGTGGATTCTGGACACCATCGACTCGCTGCGCTCGCGCAAGGCGCGGCCGGACCTGGAGCGCATCTGCCGGATGGTGCGGCGGCGGCACGGCCCGGAGCCGGAGCGCACGCGCGCCGAGCTCGAGAAACTGATCCAGCAGCGCGCCGTGCTCCGGGTCAGCTACAAGGGGAGCATCTCGTACCGCAACGCGGCGCGCGTCCAGCCGCCCCGGCGCGGAGCCACCCCGCCGGCCCCGCCGCGCGCCCCCCGCGGGGGCCCCGCCGCCGCCGCCGCCGCCGCGCCGCCGCCCACACCCGCCCCGCCGCCACCGCCCGCGCCCGTCGCTGCCGCCGCCCCGGCCCGGGCGCCCCGCGCGGCCGCCGCCGCCACAGCGCCCCCCTCGCCCGGCCCCGCGCAGCCGGGCCCCCGCGCGCAGCGGGCCGCGCCCCTGGCCGCGCCGCCGCCCGCGCCGGCCGCTCCCCCGGCAGTGGCGCCCCCGGCCGGCCCGCGCCGCGCCCCCCCGCCCGCCGTCGCCGCCCGGGAGCCGCCGCTGCCGCCGCCGCCACAGCCGCCGGCGCCGCCACAGCAGCAGCAGCCGCCGCCGCCGCAGCCACAGCCGCCGCCGGAGGGGGGCGCGGCGCGGGCCGGCGGCCCGGCGCGGCCCGTGAGCCTGCGGGAAGTCGTGCGCTACCTCGGGGGCAGCGGTGGTGCCGGCGGCCGCCTGACCCGTGGCCGCGTGCAGGGGCTGCTGGAGGAGGAGGCGGCGGCGCGGGGCCGCCTGGAGCGCACTCGCCTCGGAGCACTTGCATTGCCCCGCGGGGACAGGCCCGGACGGGCACCGCCGTCCGCCAGCGCCCGCGCGTCGCGGAGCAAGGTGAGCGCTCGGAGGAGCTGGGACGCTGCGCGGTGGGCAGGTGCGGGCGAAGTTGGTGGAGGGGGCGCGAGTCCCGGGTGGAACTGGGCGCCGGGTGGCCGGGGGTTTTACGCGTTTTGCGCGCGTTCCCTGCGGGCTCCGCGCGTGGTGACCTTGGCAAGTGGTTTAATCTTGCCGAGCCTCAGTTTCCTCGGATGTGAATGCCACTTGATCACAGTAGCGACCCCTTGGGGTTGTTGAGCGACTTTAGTGAGATTTGGCTAGTGAAGGCTTTATTAACACAAAGCCTGGCACGGAGTGACTGCGTAAAAGTTAGTCCGTATTGTTATTAAAGGTGGCATTGGGTACACGACTCGGCCTGGGATCCCAGGATCTGGGTCCAGGATTAGAACAGCTGCTATGCTTCTCTCCCTGGCCCCAGAGAGGTGGAGAAGAGCGAGTGCTTGAGAAAGAAGAGGAAGAGGAAGATGATGAAGAAGATGATGATGATGATGATGTGTCTGAGGGCTCAGAAGTGCCCGAGAGTGACCGTCCTGCGGGTGCCCAGCACCACCAGGTTAATGGCGAGAGGGGCCCTCAGACTGCCAAGGAGAGGGTCAAGGAGTGGACGCCCTGTGGACCCCATCAGGGCCAGGATGAAGTGCGGGGATCTGTACCTGGCAGTGGCAGCCGCCAGGTGTTCTCCATGGCCGCCATGAATAAGGAAGGGGGATCAGGTAAGGACTGCTGGGAGGGTGTTCACTGGTCAGAGAGCAACCCCAGTCCCAAGACAATGCCACAGGCCCGTCCTTTTTCTTTCCTAGCCTCTGTTGCCACCGGGCCAGATTCCCCATCCCCTGTGCCTTTGCCCCCAGGAAAACCAGCCCTACCTGGGGCCGACGGGACCCCCTTTGGCTGTCCGTAAGTTGGGGCACTTGAGACATGGGGGTAGTGCCCAGGTGTATGTAACAACTAGAGGGGCATCAGTGTTTACTGGTACCCTCTGTTTTGATGCAGTCCCGGACGCAAGGAGAAGCCGACTGACCCCGTGGAGTGGACGGTGATGGACGTGGTGGAGTACTTCACGGAGGCAGGCTTCCCGGAGCAGGCCACAGCTTTCCAAGAACAGGTGAGTTCCCAGCCCAGGACTTTATACACATATGTACAGAGGACCGTGGCAGGGATAGGCTCTGATCCTCCCTCTCTCTGTCCCTCCCAGGAAATCGATGGCAAGTCTTTGTTGCTTATGCAACGCACAGACGTGCTCACCGGTCTGTCTATCCGCTTGGGCCCCGCCCTGAAAATCTATGAGCATCATATCAAGGTGCTTCAGCAAGGCCACTTTGAGGATGATGACCCGGATGGCTTTTTGGGCTGAGCACCCAGCCTTGCCCTACCCCCACCCACTCCAACCCCCATCTTGCCCAAGACCCCCAGAGTCCATGAGCTGGATTGGATGGGGACACCCTCAGCCCTCATAACAGACTCCAGTGAGGGGTGTGCCCTTCTCTGCTCTCTCTCCCCTTTGTCTCAGACACACCTGCCCCCCAACACATGCCCTGCTCTACAGTAGTAGAGTATGGGGGGACTGGGCCTGCTCATTCACCCCAAAAGGCCAACCCTCCCCTCAACCCAGGACATTTTTGAAAAAAAATAGGGGGGCCTCCCATCTCCCCAAGATTCAGTTCAGCCAGATGTTTCTTATATAAATGTTTTGTTCTGCCTGTTCATTTTGGTGGGTGGTCTTTCCTTCCTCCCCCACCACCCATGCCTGCTCCCAGCCTGCTGCCCCTGGCCTCCAGCCCCTGGGGAGCATCTGGGGTGGGTCCCTGGGTCTTCTCTCCTCTCCCTTCTGTCAATCATTGCTCCAGCTGGCTGTATTGCTTTTTAATATTGCACCGAAGGTTTTTTAAATAAAATTTTAAAAAAAGAAAAGGGGGAAAAAAAAGAGTCCATTTTATGAATGGAGTGGGGGAGGGGTGTTGAAGAGCCTCCTAGGTGCACTTAAGCAGTTTGAGGAGGAGAAAAAGTAGTGATCTGGCTGTCTGGACCGTGCTCTAGTCATTGCTCAGGGATAGCTATGTTCACCTAGCACACTGGACTCTGGGTTTGATTCCTTAGCACTGCAGAAAGAAGGGAGGAGGAGTAATCGCTGTAGGAGAATGGGAATATTTGCTTTATCTTCTGTCATTTCCCCATTCTCAGAACCTCCCGGCATACACAGTAGGTGCTCAAATATTTGTAGAGTGACTAACTGTTAACTCCATGTTTTATGAGCATTTTCTTGACTGTCCCCTCAGCAGTCCCATGAGGCAGAGAGCTCATAAAAACCCACTTTATAGGTGAGCCATCTAGCTCAGCACAGCAAAAGATGCTCATGGTCACATGGGGGAGATCTGACACCTGTTGACTTTTTTTTAGTGGGGGTGCTGTACTTGGGATTGAGTCCAGGGGTGCTTTACCACCGAGCTACATCCCCTGCCCTTTTTTTTATTTTTGATTTATTTATTTATTTATTTTTGAGGCAGGGTCTCATTTAAATTGCCCAAGCTGGCTTTGAACTTGCAATCCTCCTGCTTCAGCCTTCCCAGTCACTGGGATTACAGGCGTGCACCACCTCACCCAACTACCTGTTGCCTTCTTTACCTAGAACCTTGAAATGTAATTGATGTACGTGGCTTCGTAGCTAATGTTTTATACTGCCGGCCTTTGCATGCGGTAAAGAATCCAGTCTACAAGTGTTAGGGGCAGAGATCTGTGCTGGGAACAGGGTATGAACAGAAGCCACCGGCCATCAGATGAGGTGATGGAATAGGGAAAATCTTCCAAGCAAAGATTTTTTTATTGTTAGTAGGGACTTGTGATGTAGTAGTTGTCACTACCACTAAGTTCATGTGCTGTTTCTCAACTCCATTCGTTTAAAAATAAAAGCCAGGGAGTCACAGGGGTGGAGCCTGAGCATCCCTCTCTGCGTTGGGACACGCGTTAGAGACCCCTCCTCCCTAGGAAACCAGCTGGGAGAGAAAAAGGTGCTGATCCTTGGCCACACCCCCAGGATGTAGCCGCCCCAGCGGGGCCTGGGTCTCCGCCCTCGGCGGGTCCCTCCTCCCCAGTGCCAGGTGCCGGGAGCGCGCGGATGCGCGGGGGCCCCGCGGGTGCGCAGCGCTGAGCGGGCGGAGCAGCGCGCCTCTCCCGCGTGTTGAAATTCAAACGAGGCGAACTCCGCCGGCCCGGCGCGGAGCCGGCCGAGAGGTCGAGGCAGGGCCGAGTTGGAGGCGGCCGCGCTCCCGGTCCAGGCAAGTCCCAGGCTTCCTGGGCTCCTGGGGCGGGATTGAGCCCGCGGCCAACGTGAGCTGCGGAGACTTAAAGAGTGCGGACCCCGCCCCCGGCCCCTGATGGCGTCGGAGCAGTGGTTCGTGGGGCCGCTCCCCCTGGGCCCTGGAGAAACGCCGCCCTTGGACAACTTGGAACCCGGGACGCAGCCCTGCAGAGATCCCTCGTGGTCAACGCCGCCCGGCAGGCCTGAGGACCCAACCGAGCTGGAGCCAGAGGATGCCCAGGGGCAGTTGCTGGAGGTCCCTGCCTCCATGCCTTCCCCCGAGCCTCCAGCCCCTGACCGGGGGCCGACCCCAGCTCGCCTACCCCTGGACGCTATGTTCAGCCCCATCACGGAACAGCTCCGCTACCTGCTTAAGAAGGCAGATGACTTCCAAAGCTACTTGCTCTACAGGTGATCTTGGATGGGGTCCTAGGTCCCCAGGCTTAGGGAGATGGGAGATGGTAGATGCTCCAAATCAAAGACAGGGTAGGCAGCCCCCACCAGAGTCACAAACTCAAAAGCATCAGGAGCCAGATGGAGAAAGTCAGTGAAGCTGGTTGATCAGGCATACATTTCTGAGAGTGAAGAGGACCGTAGGACTGGGGCTGGCGACTGTTAAAGACTGCCCAGAGGTTGCCAAGTCCCTGGAACTTTTTCTCCCTAATTTTAAATGAACCCCGGGGCAGCTAAACAAAACCCAACTGAGGCAGATTTGGCCCCTGGGCTACCAGTTTGAGACCCTAGAGGACAATGTGATTCCCAGACCAGGGGAAAAGGGACTCTGATTGTGTCATTGCCCACTGGAATCCCCTGGGAGTCTTGTTGAAACCCTAAATCTCTGAGCTTCATCCTACAGGGAGTTTTGAGCAAAAGTCAGTTGTGGGACTCAGGTGTCAGCATTTAGCAAGTGCTCCAAATCAAAGATGCCCTGAGAAAGGCCTGGCCCTGGGGGGGGGGGGAATAACAAGGGTGGAGGCCAGGGATACAGGTGGGGAGTGAATAGGATGGCAAACTGGGGGCAGGGTGTGAGGGGTCCTAAAGGCCCCCTTCTCCCTTTAGCAGGGACCGAGTGCAGAAGGAACAGCTGGCAAAGGCCATGCCCACCTTCTTAAAGATGTGTGAGCCTTACTTCTTATACCTGGAGGCTGCAGCGAGGAGCATGCCCCCCATCCATGGAGCCCTGCAGGAGCTGGTTCGAAAGGGGGTGTGTGGGGCCGTTTTCCCAGTCCCTGTGCCCCTTTCTTCTGGAGGCCCCACACAGGCCTGGGGGTGAAGGGGTTGCTTCTGGCGGGCCCTCTCATTATGCCCATCCCCCCTCCGTGCAGCTGTTGGAGATCTCCCAACAGCTGACTCTACGCCTGGAACAGCTGGTCCTCATGTATGCCTCCTTTGGGTTCTTGGACCTGGAGGAGACTGACCCCCTGAGGTAAAAGAGGAGACAAGGGATGGGGACAGTGGTGGAGTCAGGGTCCAGCCTCATGTGCCTTCCCGTGTCCTGCCAGCATCTCCTGCTTCTTCTGTGGAAGGTTCTCCATCAGCCCTTCCCACGAAGTGTCCATCTTCAGATACTGTACCCCAGCCGCCTACACCGCCAGCCGCTTCCCCCGGTACCTCTATAAGAAAATGCGCTGGAACCTGGAAACCACCCCAGAGCCCAGCAACCGAGGACAAGATCCCCATGTGGATTAGTGAGTCCCTTAATCAAAGTCCTCCTCTTCCTATGCTGAATGCCATATTGGGCCTTTGAGCCAGTACCAAAGAGTGAAAACCCAGAAAACCAAGTAGCTTTGAAAGACCTCCCCACCCCACACTGGGGATGGAATCCAGGGCCCAGCACACGCTAGGTTCTACCCCTGAGCTGCACCCCCAGCACCCCCCCCCCCACTTTTTTTTAGCCCCATCCTCCCATCAAAATAAAAGTAGAATTTTAAAGAGAGCCACATCCCTGAGAATTTCAGGGCAACTTTGATAAATTTCAATCTCATCCTCAAAATTAAAGCCCTCCACAGAAAAGCTGGGAAATCATCACACTTAACTGCTGCTGTCTCTCCCCTCCCAGCTACTTCCTATGCTATCGAGATACATGGGAGGACACAGGCCAGAATCCAGCCAACTCGTGTCCCCAGATCCAGAAGCTGTGGTCCATCGGTCGATGGGTGCCCCTAGGGCCAGCTGAAGATGACCTTTATTCATGGTAGGAGCCAGGGCAGTGGCAAGGTGGAATTGGGGGGGGGGGGGGAGAGACAGGATCCCATCATCTAGGGAAGCCTCGACACTTTACTTCCCTTGGTAAACCGATAACATTTTATTGTGTCCCCAAAAGTGCTTTATGCAGACTCGTGTAACAGCCCACTGAGATCTAAAGTAGTGGCCCCATTTACAAGGAAGAAAACAGGTGTTCAGAGAGGTTAAGTTACCTGCCCAAGGACATACAGCAAGAAGAGTGACTGGCGGTCACCCCAGGGGAACCACTGCTCTAAGTTTCTCATCAACAAGGAAACAACTTCCGTCAGGATTCCCACCCCCCCCCCCATACACCCGCAGCTGAAACAAAGCGAAAAGTGCTCCCAAGGGGCAGGGGGCGCTCACGTCCAGGCCTGTCTGCCCCCTGCCCCCTAGGATTTTGTGCCCGCAGCCTCCTGGGGACTACCAACAGCTGCTGACCATCGGCTTCGAGGAGCCATCGCACATGCTGGCCACCGACCTGCTAGTGCAGATTCTCATGGGTCAGGCAGGCCCGGCCCGGCCCCCCAGCGCTGTCGGGCCTCCGGCGTGGACTGCGCAGGGGCCTTGAACCTGGGGAAGAAGGTGGGGGCTGGAGCTTGACAGTTCCAAACTCCCAGAGAGGGGCCAGGGGAGGGGCTCACTCGTTCTCCTAGCGCAGCCTGGCCTCGCCTTCCAAGGGGCCAGGCCGAGCTGGCCAGTCTGCACTAAGTCCAGCCCGGTCCGGCCGGCCGCGGAGCCGGGAGTGCAGACACACCAGTTTTGTGTTAAATAAAAGAAAGAAAGAGGTCACAGGCTTAGCGTCCGCTCCGAGCGCCGCGCCCCTCCCCTTGGGGCGGGTAACCCCGCCCACTAGCGCCGCCTTCTGGGAAACGTAGTTTTTGGAAATAAAACTCTAGTCGACCGGTAGGCAAGGGGAGAATTTGGCGCATGCGCAGAGGTGCACGTGAAGCAAACCGGGAAGTAGTGGTGCCTGTCAACAACCGGAACCCAGAAAACCGCAAGTTTCGGGAGTCGGGAAATTCAACGCCCACTGGAGGAAGAGCCATAGGGCCACGCCCACCCACCCGTTTTGACCCGGAAAAGGTTTTGTTCTGGAGTAAAAGACTACATTTCCCGACGTACCCTAGGAAAAGGGCTGGCGCTCTGTTTCCGAAGGGCCCTGACAGACTTTTTCTCCGCCAGATTTTGGTTCTAGGAACCTGGCAGCTGACTGTTATTCGCGGAGTCTCTGGGGCGCTCACGGAGTGTGACAGTCTCAGGGAATCCCAGCGTGGAATCTCTAAGCCCCACCCCATCCTTGGACTGGAAAAAAGATCCTGGGCTGCGAAAAGTGAAACTCACCTGTCCAGTGCAAGCGAGTGGCGGAGCCTGGACTCAGTCGCGTTCCTCCGATCGCAGCTGCTCCCCTGGGGACAGCTTTTGGATCCCTCAGCATTTTCAGAGTGGAGACCCGGATTTTGTGCTTTTGAGCAAAGCCCTGGTTTTCCTAATAATTCTTGGCACATGGTATGATCATCAACCCTCATTTACAAATGAGGAAAACGGACATGAGAGGTAAACTGAGTCGGGATTGGACACCAAGACCCTTGCTCTTCTAGAGACCATTTCTGGCTCCATCAAGGATTTTTTTAGTCCACAGTCTAGGTCTGAAGGACTTCGAGGGGGTTCTAAAGCTCCCCGATACTGATTTGAGTTAGCTCCTCTTGAGTTTTCGTGCAGTTGTAAGATTTTTTATAGACTATCCCGGCCCAATAAAAAAATATAAAGTGAGCCACATGTGTCATTTTAAGTTTTCTCAGAGACACATTTTAAAAATAACAAGGGCATCCTCACATTGCATGAGGACCCAGGTTCCAGTCCCAGCACCACGAAAATAAAAACAAGAGGTCAGATTCATGTTAGTGATATTTTTATTTAACCAAATGTATCAAAAATAGCATCTCTTGGGCTGGGGTTGTGGCTCAGGGGTAGAGCGCACGCCTAGCATGTGTGAGGCACTGGGTTCGATCCTCAGCACCATATTAAAAATAAATAAATGAAGCTATTTTAAAAACCTTTAAAAAATAGCATCTCGACATGTAATCCATGTAGGAAAATTAATGTTTCCTTCTGGGTGTGGGTGCTAAGTCTTTGAAATCTGATGTGTATTTAACACAGCACATCTCAATGCAGACAAGCCACGATCAGCTGTAGACCATCTCCAAGCCAAATTCACAATATACTTACAAACTAAAGGTTTCTGCTGGGTGGCAGCAGTACTGGGAGAGGAAGGAAACAAGCTTGATTTTCTGGGTCCTGTTGCTCAGGAACTGTCTACACTCATGATCCTCAAAGTTTAGCATGCATCAAAGCCGTGTGGAATGTTTCATCACTACGTCTGGCTGGGACCCAAGGATGTGCATTCTTTTTTAGTTTTCTGGTGCTGGGGATGGAACCCAGAGCCCTGCACATGCTAGGTAAGCACTTGATCACTGAGTGAATGGAATGTGCATTTCTAACACATCATTTAAGCATCAATGATCCAGCTGGACCAGACGCCACACTTTGAGAACTACTGATCTATATCTGCATTATAGTTCTCAAACAGAGTTGCACCTAGAAATAATATTGAGAGCTTTAAGAATTTCTGATGTCACCTGGCTGCAGTTACACATGCCTGTAATCCTAGAGATTCAATAGGCTGAGGCAGGAGGATCACAATTGCCAGACTGGGCGATTTTTTTAATATTTATTTTTTAGCTTTAGGTGGACACAGTATCTTTATTTTATTTTTATGTGGTGCTGAGGATCAAACCAGTGCCTCACGCATGCCAGGCGAGCGCGCTACTACTTGAGCCATATCCCCAGCCCCCAGGCTGGGCAATTTAGCAAGACACCATCTCAAATTTTTAAAAAACTTAGAAATGAAAGAAGTGTTGGGATTGTAGTTCAGTGGTAGAGTACCCTGAGTTCAATCCCCAACACCAGAAAAAGCAAAAAACTGACGTCATCCTTGGGAGTGTGTAACTCTGTGATAGAACACTTGCCTGTATGTGCAAGGCCCTGGGTTCCATCGCCAACACTGAAGAAAACAAACAAAAGCCCTGACATCAACAAGCCCCACCCATTCCTATTAACTAGGCATAGGCCTCAGTTGGATTTAATGTGCAGTAAGTTACAGAACTTTCAGTTTACACATAAGCAGTCCTGTCCACTCTTTCCATGCTCAGTTCTTGGGAGGAGTGGTCCCAGAAGTTGAAAACAGGTTCTGAGTGTTTCCATTTCCCATCTTGGCAGCCCTGGGTCTCTGCTGCCTTCCTCTCCACATTTCCCAGAGTTGTGGTCAAGCATGTAGTCAGTGGGTGCATGATGGGCACTAGAGGCCAGCCTTTCCTGGACTACTCTTGGGTGCCAATGCCTGTAAACCTTTTCCATCTATCCATCCCCAGCCCTGCCACATGTGTGTGCACATGCACGTGTATGAGTGTGTGTGTGTGTGTGTGTGTATGGGCTTGTACTGAGGATTGAACCCAGGGGCTTTCTACCACTGAACTACAGCCCAGCCTTTTTTTTTTTTTTTCACATTGAGACAGGGTCTAGTTGACCTTGAACTTGAGATCCTCCTGCCTCAATTTCCTGAGTACCCGGAATTCTAGGTTGTGCCACTGGGCCTGGCTCAACCATTTTATTTATCCATATTTTACTAGATATTTGCTGTCCCTATGCATGGGATAGAGTTGGGCAGATCCAAGAGTTTAAATCAATTCTAAAATATTCCCAAGCCTCACCTTCCCTGATCTCAGCACATCTCTCTCTCTCTCTCTCTCTCTCTCTCTCTCTCTCTCTTTTTTCCTTTGTGGTGCTGGGGCTTGAACCCAGGGCCTTGTGCATGTGAGGCAAGCACTCTATCAACTGAGCTATATCCCGAGCCCTCAGCACACTTCTGAGAAGCTATAAAACTATGGCCAAAAAAAAATATTAACTGCATAGATACAGTGGTGCAGACATCTTGGGGAGTTCACTAACACTCCTGAACTGCACTAGGGGAAAGAAATTAACCAGGGCTTGCAAATGGACAGCCACAGGCCTTATTGCAAACAGGTATTGTTGCCACTCTTCTCCCTTCTGCACTCTTTTAAGAGCTTTTCTAAATAGTCACAATTCTTAAAAGTTCAATAGATTTTTTTTTTTTTAATGTGATGCTGGGGCTCAAATCCAAGGCATCCCACATGCTAGGTAAATGCTCTACCACTGAACTGCACTCTCAGTCCCTAGATTTCTTTTTAAATTACTGGGTTCCAGTTGCTTTTGTTTATCACTTTGTTTGAGACTGGGTCTCCCTCTCTTGCCTGGGCTGGTCTTGAACTCCTGGACTCAAGTGATCCTCCCTCCTGAGCCTCTGGAGTAACTGGGCCGATGGGAGTGGGCCACTGCGTCTGGCTTCCGGTTGCTTTCCTAAAACAGCAATTCTGACCCCACTCACTGACTTGCTCATTCATCAGAGACCCAGGGCTGCCAAGATGGGAAGTGGAAACACTCAGAACCTGTTTTTAACTCCTGGGACCACTCCTCCTAAGGACTGAAGGATGATTACCAGGAACTGCTGAAAGTCAAGGAAGAGCTTGGACCCTCATCGCTACTTTTTTTTTCCAGTTACCGTTTACATCCTTAGAACAGGAACAGCCTCATACCATCTCCTCTGTCTAGCTGGCGCCCAGATCACAGCACGCCGCCGAAGTCACCAATAAAAGTTGAAGTCTATAACCGTCCCCCGTGAGCTAGTCAGAGTGCCACATTTTCAGCCTGCGCCGCCAGGGGGCAGTAGGACCCCGGCCGGGTGGGTTTGGCCCAGGGAGACGGAGAGGCTGGGAGGCAGGGAGGCTGGGAGGCGGACAGCTGGGCAGCCAAGTGGCCGGGCAGCAGGGAGATAAGTGTGCATTCCGCATTCCGGCATTCCGGCCGACGCCTCCTGCGGCTTTCTCTGGCCTCTCTCCGACCGCTCCCGCCCCACCCCAGACGAAGAGAACTGAAAAGAAACCAGCTTGCACAGCCCAGGAAAAACGGGGCTTTATTGCGGGGGGGAGGGGGGGGGAAGGTGACCCCGGCCGTCTAACAATCGAAAGGTTAGAAGGTTAGTTCAGTTAGACTAAGAGGGGTTGAACAGTCACTGTTTGTGGATGGTGGTCAGTTTCCTAGTGGAGACTAAACCATTTTACAGAAGGGACTGGTCAGTTTCACAAATTCTGAAAACAGAATGGGTGGTTGATTTCAGGTTCACCAGTACAGAGGGCTGACCCCTCTTAAGGCCTTCTGCTGAAGGGGGGGCGGGTCGGGAGGGTGGGCAGGGAAGTCCTGCTGGGCGTCGCTAACCCGGTCCTCCCACCAGTATGTTACTTCAAGCCAGGGGTCCCAGCCTATTCAAACTTCAAGGTTTGCGCTCCTCCTGAGAAGAGAGGGACACACGAAGGCCACCCTTAGGGGACCCATGCACCGCATCCAGGCGTGGGGTGGGGCAGTTGGAGCGCCAAGACCACCTCCTCCCTTTAACCCACCCACCCCACCCCCGCCTGGGCTGGGCTAGGATATCAGGTCTTGGCCAGAGTAGTGTCCCAGGGGGAGGGGACGGGGCGGGGATGCTCTTTTTCCCTCCCAGAGTCCGAGCGCCACAGGCAGTGGTGGGAGGTGCGACAAGCACTTGGGGAAGGGGGTTCCCACCTGCTCCAGGCCGTTCTCCGAAGCCTTCCTGCGGGGGGGCCAGATCACTGCCAACTTTCCATCGCCCCTGCTCGCTGCGGGGGAAGGGACGCTCAGCCTGCTTGGCCCCTCCTTTCACCAGCTGGAGGCGGCCAGGACGAAGGAGGCCGGCCGCACCCCTTAAACACATACAGGTGTTCACCCCCCCTCCTCCCCTGGGAGGCCTCCACCCAGTTCTAGGGATCCAGAAACTTGAGGAAGGCGAACCCAGAGTGGACGCAGGAACCCGAAAACACAGAGGGCGGATCCAAGAGCCCTAGAGGGCAGTCAGGGTTTCCTGAAACGAGCCCCCACCGCCAAAACCAAAGTCGTGTGGATCTGGGAGTCGTTCCCGGTGGGGGTGGAGCACAGGGAGTCGACAGCCCAGAGGAGTGGCCAGGGGACGGAGACTTGAGAAGGGTCCCAGGAATCTGGGAGCCTGAAAGGCGGAACCCCGAGAATCGGAGGGCCAGAGAAAGGGTCACAGGAGTGGGCGATTGTTGGGAGCCGCTGGAGCTGTGGGATCCCACGCGTCGCGGCTTACCCGTGAGGCTCGGCGCGGGTTCCTTGAACTCAGTGGTACCGTAGACGCTGCGCCTCTGGCGCTGCCACTCCCGCTCGCGCTCGCGCACTTCGCGCACCTCTTGCTCCAGCAGTGACGGTGCGATCGGCAGCGGGGCGCGGGCCAGCACTGGGCACCGGCCCTGCACGGCCGAGCGCTGCGGGCCTCCAGGCTCCGGCAGCCGCTGTGAGCCCGCGCTGCCCTCCGCGGCCGCCGAGGAGCTGTTCTCCGCGGCGGCCTCAAAGAAGCGCTTGAGCTCTCCCAGCGGCTGCGAGGGCGAACGGGCGCTCGGCTCGGGGGCCGCGGGGCGAGCCAGCGCCGCCTGCCGGTGAGCCTCCCGCTCGATGTCTCGTTGCATCTTTGCGCCCGCCCGCGCGCGCCCCAAGGCGCGCGGGAGCGCGGGGCCGGGACCTGGCCGACTGAGCACCGGCCGCACGCGCAGCTCGACCAGTTCCTGGCCTGCGCGGCTGGAGCTCAGGCCCCGGCTCCGTCGCAGGCTCTCCTCGCGTTCGCAGCTGCGGCGGATTTCGCGCTCGATTGGCGTCTCCATGAGCAGCTCCGCGGCGAGCCGTTGGGGTGCCTCAGGACTCAGTGGAAATCGCAACTGGGGGACTTCCGGGCCTGACCCGGAGGAGGAGGAGGTCTCAGGGCCAGGAGCTGAATACTGCCCTGCGACCTCCGCGCTCTGCACTGCAGGCAGCCCAGGGTCGGCGCTACCTGGCCCTGGACTCACAGAGCCTGCAGCTGCGGACCGCCCGGGGCGCTCTGCGACCCGCTCGGCTGATGGTTGCAGAACTTCGCTCTCTTGCTCTGGAGCCCCAACGTCCTGCGCTGATGAGGGAAGAAGATCCTCGCCGCCCAGCCTGAAGACCTCAGTGTCCTGCTCTTCAGCAGGCTCCGGGGCTTCGCTGTCTGGCCCGGGGGGCTCGTGGCTTTGCTCTTCAGACGACCCCAGGGCTCTGCTCTCCCTCCCGGGGACCTCGGTGTCCAGGGTTAGGTGCAGCTTGGGAGCCTAAGTTCCCAGACTCTGGGTTTTGATGCCCAGAGCCAGGATACCGTGCCCTATGAGGCACCTGTGGCCGCAGTCTCCGCCCGTGGTTCTAAGGCGTCGCCCGCGCCCGCAGCTTTGCGGACCCGCCTCTGGCCTCCGAGAACGGCCCCTGGGGGCAGGGCTGGGCACCGCCCCCGGCACCTGCCTGAAGGACTCCAGCTCCGCCCCGGCCCCGCCCTCGGGGCGGGGGCGCCTTGCCGGAGAACTGGATTTCTTGCCCTGGTCCTCTGGGGTCAGCTTAGGGCACAGAACTCCTCTAAAAAGCGTTACCTGGACCCCGCCGTTACCCAGGGGAGTCGCTCTGTGGGCCGGGTTCTCTCGCTGCCCGCACGTTGGCACCTTTTTCGTTCAATGTCCCTGGCAGAAAGCCGGGTTAGGCCTCTAAAACAGGAGTCTTCTTGTGGGGGTGTCCCCCTGATGGTCATCCTTGTCCAGAAGGTGTCTGCCGGCGGCCAGAGACGCCCCTGGCCTCTGGGCCAGCCCCTTACTTTCCACCCTTGCGGCGCGCAGCTCTGGCCCGAGGGGGCGCCAGGATCCGCCTAAAGGCGCGCGGGGTCCGCCGGCTCCCTCCCAGCTCCTGGCCTCAGCAAGGTTCGGAATGGTGCGCTGCTGCCCTCACCAAGCCCAGCAGCGGCTTCCCTTTCCCGCCCTGGAGAGTCCGCGCGGCGTAGGCGCCAAGAGCACTCCTACACTCAGAAAATAAGGAGAGCGCGCCCAGGGAGCCGCGAGCTGTGGCGGTTGAAAGACGGTCACCTTGGGCTCTGGCGGCGTTCAGTCTAGCGCCAGGGAGCAGCTCCCTTTGGAGCAAATTCTGTCATTCTAGGGCAGGATCACAGACTCCGCGCGTGTGCCACCCACCTGCAGGGACATTTTCCATTCTTCCCGCTGATCGAAGAAGGCTTTCAACAGAACCCTATCCCCCACCCCACCCGCAACACACTATTCCAGGATGATCCAGAAGAAAGACACTTACCTAAAGAAAACGGGGGGGGGGCTTTCTGGCCTCAGAAACCCCCAATAATCCAACTATTTTATCACCCCTTCCTGCCTACGCTTCCTCTTTTCCACCCTTTTCCTCTTCCCTCTCCTTGATCCCAACCTCCTCCCTCTGACCGTCTGACCCTGCTGGCCTAATTAGAGTCAGCCAACCTGGCTTCTCTCCCTCCCATAACCTGAGCAAGGTGTGAACCTTCTCCAATGCTCAGTTTTCCTATCTGTAAAATGGGGACGGGACGACTGTGCCTAACTCAGTTGGGAGATTGTTGAAGGTTCAAGCTTTATGTTTCCAGGGGCTGGGGTTGTGGCTCAGTGGTAGAGAGCCCTCGCCTAGCATGCACGAGGCACTGGGTTCCATCCTCAGCACCACATCAATGTCCAATAAAGATATTGTGTCCACCTAAAACTAAAAAGGAAATATGAAAAAGAAAAGGAAAAAATCTGTTTCCAAAAGAAATTGTCTCCATGGTGCCCTCTTCGCCTGTCACCTCATGACCCCTCCTCTGGCCATGCTAAGCGGCTCTGGGCCTGCAGCCCTATGACCTCTGTTGAAGACCTGGTTGCTGGCTCTGTCCCCCGCCGTCCTTCATCCTAAGGGTCACCAGCCTCTCCTGCTTCCTCCTGCCTGACAGGCAACCCTTCTCAGGCTTCAGATCCACATGTGCCGACAAGTTTCTTTCCCTCTGGCTTCAGCAGAAGGGCGAAAGAAGAGCAAGCCCAGGATTTTAATTCCATGTCCTCTCCCTCCAAGCCTCTTTGGGGACATCCCAGTAGCAGCTCTACATGGCTCTCCTTGGGGGTCAAGAGGGTACACAATCTACTGGGCCTCCACGGGTGACCTTTGTAAACAGTTGCTTCATTAAGTTCTCATCGGTTACTGTTTTTGAATACATGATCTCTTCCTGCTACGACACAGACCCTGAAAAATTCCAGTCTCATGCTTTAAGCACCATCTCTGTGCTGGTGGCTCCCAAATTTATGTGCCCAGCCCTGGGTTTCCCCTGGGCTTTGGACTCACGTCCAACAGCGTCAGTCTGATGGATTTCCCCAAACACTTCCAAGACTGAATTCTAGATCCCCCCACCCTGCTCTGCCCCACCAAGAGTCACAACTGCACCTGTTCATGCCACACTCTAGGAGGCAGCCCCGATTTCTCTCTTTCCCCTCCAATCTCAGCGAACCCCTGTGGCTCTGCCTCCAGATATATTCTGAATTCATCCACTTCTCTCACCCTTGTCCCAGCCGTCACCTCTCCCTCCAAATGCTCCCGCCAAACAGAATAAAAACCCAATTTCCCTACGGTGGGCCAGAAAGCCCTGTCCTCTTCTCAGATCTCATCTTGTGCCGTCCCTTGGGTCACGTCATCCCAGCCCTCATGCTTCCCTCCAACCTCTCCATTGGAATTCCCACCGTAGAGTCTGGGCATTCTTTCCCTCCGCAGGGAATGATTCATCCCATGACTGACTCCTGCTATTCAGCTCAAATGTCACCTCTTCAGAGAAGGGGTCCCCGATTGCCCAACCTGCAACAGCAGCCCCTTTTTAACCCCATCCCCATTTTTTCTCAAGAACCCACCCTTGAGGCCGGGCTGTAACTCAGCATAAGGCCTTTGAGTTCATCCCCAGCACCAGGAAAACCAAGACCAAACAAAACAACAACAGAACACCTCCTCCTCCCCCTCAACTACAGGTGTCACCCATCATCTTTATTTCTTTGTATATCTGTGAGTTTTCTGTCTCCCTCCCCACACCAGGAAGTGAGCAGCATTACAGAATTTTCTGTTTGTTCTACTCACCTCCATACCCAACTCTTCCACACCTGGAATGCCGTCTGGTACATGAGTTGTTTAAAAAATCAGTATTTAGCCGGGCACTGTGGCGCATGCCTGTCAGCCCAGCAGCTTGGGAGGCTGAGGCAGGAGGATTTCGAGTTTGAAGCCAGCCTCAACAAAAGTGAGGTGCTAACTCAGTGAGACCCTGTCTCTAAATAAAATACAAAATAGGGCTGGGAATGTGGCTCAGTGGGCGAGTGCCCCTGAGTTCAATCCCTGGTTACCCCCACCAAAAAAAAAAAAAAAAAAGCCACAGAGTGTACAACTCCATTCACACAAAATGTCCAGAACAGACCAATCCATAGAGATAAAGCCAATGGGTGGTTGTCAAGGCTGGAGGGAGGGGAGATGAGGTTTCCTTTTGGGATGATGAGAAGGTTCTGGAATCAGGTAGAAGCAATGGTTGCATACCATCATGAATGTGCTAAAGGCCCCTAATGGTAAGTGTTGTCATGTATGATTTACCATGACTAAAAAATAATTTAGCCACTTGGGGTGGTGAGCAACCTGTTATCTCAGCTACTTGGGAGACTCAGGCGAAGGCAACACAGGGAGACCCTGTCTCAAAAAAACAAACAAAAATAATTAATGAAGTCAGCCCGACCAAGTGGCAGTGGCACGTGCCTGTTGTCCTGGCTACTTGGGAGGCTGAGGCAGGATAATCACGTTAAGCCCAGGAGTTCCAGAGCTTTGTACTAGAATGTGGGACACAGGAGATCTCAGCCTTCAACCAGCCCCCCTCTTTCCCAACCCCCATCTCTCCAGAAGCAGGGAGCCGGGTGCGTGCTCTAGGGACACTTTATCTCGTACCCAAGCTCTTCCACACCCCTCTGCTCACAGCTGACCCTGGGCCCCCTAAGTAGGGTCCAGTAGAGGAAGATCAAGATTTAGAAAGCACATTTGTTTGCTCTGTGCTCTTTGCTCCATGGGACGAGTCCCTAGTGGAATGTCCTCTAATGTGTGGGGCCCACATCAGGCAAGAGCTTCTTATCAGGGTTAAGGTCAGAATCCTAAAGTCTGACCGGGGCTGGGATCGGGGAAGCACTGAGGGCCGCAGGAGAGCAGAGGGGCCCCTGCCCCATCCTGGAAATTACTTCCACAGGAGCAGGGCTTCATGAAATGTGCACTCAGCTGAGAGAGAGGGTGCTGGCCCTTTAAGAATGCAATGGTACAAAATAGGGGACCCTCAAGGTTTGGGTAGGAAGTTCTCCAGACCTTGCTGGTCACCACTCGCTCCTGTAACTTTACCTAAGGAGTATCTGGGGCTCTGGAGGCCACCTGGACTGGATCTCCCATATCACAGATGGGTAAACCGAGGCCTAGAAACCTGAGGCAAGATGTCCACAGTTACCCAGGCTTGCTCCAGCCTCCTGGGTCCCCTGGTGCTGAGCCTCTGGCCTCCAGAATTCCCTGGCTGGAGCAGAGGTCCCTTCCTCCCCCGGTGGAGCCAGGTCTTGAAGGGAGTCCTGCGGCTTCTTAGTGTGCATGCCATGAATGACATTCACGTGCCCTGACAGAGGACCAAAGGACGGGGAATGCCCTGGAGGGTGGAGGTCAGCAACTGCCATCTCGCCCACCTGCTTGACCGCACATGTGAGAGCATTTGCCGGAGGCAGCCCGGTGCAGCAAGAAGGCCAGCGGCTGGTAAATAATTTATCCAGATAGCTGATAGTGCCTCCCAGAACGGCCGCCAGCCCCCAGCCCCCCTCCGTGCACCTCCAGCCTCGGCCCAAACCAGCTGGACCAGCTCTCCGGGTGCCGCCCTGCAGCCCCCCTCCCACCAGCCCAGTCCCGGCCTCCAGGGCACCTTCAGGCAAGCGGGTAGTGGGTCTCGAACTCAGAGACTGGGAAGTGGGCTTCTGGGCAAGATGGCCCTGCAGAGCCAGGCCTGGTCTCCAGCCACACCCATGTAAGTGTCTGGGGTCACTGGGGCTGGAGGGCCGAGGGCCGGGCTTGGAAGGGGCTTCGGGGGGATGCTGGCCTTGCCTGGGAGCCCAGAGCCCCATCTGGACTTTCCTAAGGAAACCCAAGAGAGTGGACAGGGCAGGGGCCAGCTGCATGGGCTCCTCAGTGGCCCCTGCCCCGGAGACTATGGTGGGGGCTGTGAACTCCCCGACACCTTCTTCTCCAGGGATTTTCTGCTGGCAGACCAAGAGCCCAAAGTCCAGCCTGGGGGTGGGGCTACTGCCGGGTTCGGGTTCGGGGGGGCGGGGAATGCTGGGGTCCCCTGCCTCCACACTTGGCCCCTGGAATCATCCCCCATCAAATGGCCAGAGTGCCTGACATCCGACAGGAGAAATGAAGAGCTCCCCAGCTCGGAGAGACAATGACAAAATCGAAAAGATGACCTGCTTCATGAAATGGCCACCAACTAACTACTCCTGGTGGCAACAGGCAGGCTAGGGCCACCACAGGGATCTCATCTCATAGTTAGAGATAAACAGAACCAAAGGGTGTGGGGGGAGTATTTCAATATGTGAGATGGGAAGGCCTTGTAATTTAGAGAGTAGAGGGGTTCTAGGGTTTGTGAAGAGTTCTAGAAAGGGGGCTCCCCCAGTGGGGTCCCCAATTCGGTTCCTCACCCTTCTGGGTCTTCCACTACATTATTCACCAACTACAAACCTGGTTGCCTGGCAACGGGAACCCAATCCCCCCCCAGCGAGAGAGAGGCGAGGAGGGAGATTACATCTTGGGGAGAGGACGGCAGAGAAGGGACTTCAGCCCTCCCCCAGGGACAAACCTATAAGCAGGGAGTCTGGGCTTCCTTAGGGATGCCCTGCAAACATGACGACGGTCCCCAGTGGAAATCAGGATCCCAGGCTTACCTCCAGCCTCCTGGGTGCCAAATGGAAGGTTCCTGGACCCCACGCCCAGGGTCCGGTGTTTGGGGCGTGAGTGCCTCCAGTTCTCCTGACTCCGTGACCTTGAACAAGTGTTTCTGCCACTTCTCAGAGCCTCAGGTTCCCCATCTGTGTAGTATGGGGACAATGGTACTATCACCTCCAGGGAGCACTGGGAGGCTTAAAGAGGGTGCTGTGTGCGAGGCATTAAGACAGCGCCTGGCACGGGGACGAGCTCCTTCTGTTCGTGGTTGGAATGTCAGCCCGCTGGTGGACTAGAGCCAGAGAATCCTGGTCGGGGCAGGAGAGGCGGGCGGAGGTGGCTGTGGGAGCCCAGCGGAAGCCCCACAGGGCACTTAGGACACTATATATAGCAAGTGCCATTATGCTTTCATGGTGTGGCCAGTAGAGGTCTGGGAAGTCCCAGCTGGAGCTTGAAGGTGAGGCTATAATGGTCCCTAGTAAGGTTAGCATCCAAATTAATAAACCTCTGAGGATTTCTCTGCACCCAGCCCTGGCTAGTGGGGACAACAACAGACAGCTCGATGTCACTTTCTAGATATGGAAGTGCGGCCAGTGTCGCAAGAGAGTCAGCACTCAGCACACGTCCATGACGATGAAGGGCCAAAGTGACAATGACAGGTTCCTAATGGCGTTGAGCACTGGTCAGCTTCCAGCGTCCAGGGAAAACCAGGGAGGAGGCTGGGAAGCAGGGCGGCAGGTGCTCTGAGCAGGACGGTGATGGGGAGGCTCGAGTTAAACCTTAAACCACAAGTCCCGCTCCTTGAAGCTCAGAGTCCAGTACTAGGGAGCGTGACCCAGGGACCCTTGTCCCAGGAGGGGGTTGGCAGGAGGAGGAGGCAGCTCAGGAGTTACCATGGCAACGGTGGGATGGCCATTTCTCTCCCCAGATTTCCTCACCTCCCAGCAGGTAAGGGATCCTGGATAGGAGGAGAGGTCCACAGAAGGTGTGGCAGGATTTGAGGATTTCTGGTAGGACAGACTTGGAATAGTTATCATGATTAGTCATCAATAGAATCGCTCATGGGTATTATTTAAATTATGATGAATAATAAACAATGTACTATTTTTTGGAGCACTACGTCCTTATGCTTTTCCCTGTATGGATACACGAGAAGGAGAGGCGGTTCAGCTATTCACACCCATTTTACAGATCAGGTTACTGAGGCCAAGGGAGGCAATCTCGGACTAGGAGACCTGCCTGGTCTCTGTTTGTATCCCCTCACAAGACTCTCCCTTGTCCTCTGCCCTGGCTTCTCCCAGGTGCAAAGGGGAAATAGAGGCAAATCCTGGGCTCTCCTATCGGCTACGCCAAGTTCTTGGCCAAGAGGGGAGTGTCAGAGGTCTGCTCGCTGAGGAATTGGGGGCCCTGAAAGCCCCATCCGCAGTCCCTGCCCTCTCCCCACAGGCCCATGGCCGAGAGCTCCCTCTATCGGCAGCGGCTGGAGGTCATTGCGGTAAGTGACACCCTCCCAGAGCGCTTGGTCCTGCGCCCTGGGGAACGCCCCCCAACCCCAGGCTTCTTGGTCTCCCCCAACCCCGGGAGCAAGTCTGTCACTGTGAAGAGGGGAGCAGAGTCCTAAGCTCCGGCCCTGCCCAGGGCTCTAAGCCCTCAGCCCCCTCCCCTCCCCGGCTCCTTTGTCTAGTCAATGCCACCCCAGGATGGCGGGGCTGTGGGCCCGGCACTCCCAGAACCTGCCTCATCGGAGCCTCCTCCCTGAGTCGGGCTTCCCGGACAGCCCCATCTCTTGCACCCGGTCTCGGAGGAGCCTCTCCTTATGGACCTCCATCTCTCAGGGACCTCCATCACACTGATCCTATCTGGGTCTCTCATCCTTCCACTCCATTTCTCTCTCCTCCCTCTTTGAACCCCATCTCCTAGAGCCCCAACTTTATGTAGCCCCCTCTGCATCCCCACCTCTGTACCATGTCTGACCGCCCCTCTGTACCCCCATCCTCTGACCCCACCTTTGCACCCCATCTCTGATCCCCACCTCTGCGCTCCTATAGCTTTGATCCCTGACTCTGCCACCCATCTCCCTATCCTCCCCACGTACCCACCCCCATCTCTCTGGACCCCACCTCTCCAGCCCAGTGTCTCTGACGGACGCCCCCATTTCGGACCCCATGTCAGTAGCACCCTCCCTTGGATCCAGTATTTGGACCCCTCCCATCCCTATGGACCCGATAGCCGACCGCAAGGCTCTCAACCGCCTGGGACGCCCACCCCAAGGCCCCGCCCCCGGGCCCCCCCATCCACCGACCCCCATTGGGCGCGGCGAGGCTTCCGCAGCATCCCGGGCGCGGCCGGCCCCGCCCCCGCCCCGCCCTCCCCCCGCCCCTCGGCCGGCTGCTGAGTCAGCGCCTCCGCAGCCCCCTCCCCGCCGGGTGCCCACCGCGCTGGGCCGCCCCGTGGGGCCGGGAGCCCCGGAGCCGGGGGAGCCCCCGGGGAGGAGGGCGGAGGGGGCGGAGGCTCCGCGGGCCCCGCCCGGGCGGCGGGCAGCTCCGGGTCCTCTGTGCGCAGGAAAAGCGGCGGCTGCAGGAGCAGATCCGCGCGGCGCGCCGGGAACTGGAGGAGGAGAAACTCCGCGTGGAGCGGCTCAAGGTTGGGGCGCTGGCCGGGCCTGGGGGATGAGGCGGAGGTGTCTGCGCGGGTCGGTTTGCGGGGCGACAGGAACCTCTGCCCAATTTGGGGGGGTGGGCAATAGGGAGGCGTCGGTCGCAGCTTGGGGGGCGTCTTTCCCAGCCCGAGAGGGGATGGGGCGGGGTGGTCATGGGGACAGCAGTCCCACTCTGGGAAGAGCATGGGAACCCAGGAGGTCTTTGTCCTAGTTTGGGGGACACCAGGGGAGCCATAGGGCAGCTTAGGGGTAGGGAGGGGCCGTAAGGAAGGACGTTGGTTTCACCTCTGGGAGCCTCTGTCTTGTTTTGGAGGAGTTGTGGGGGCCCCCGAGGTCTCTGCCCATTCTGGGCGGGTTGCGGGGACAGAGGGGTGTGTGTCCCAGCCTGGGAAAGCCATCGCTGGCTGGCAGTAGGGTGTTTATTCCATCTGGAGGTGTTGGAGATCAACGTATCCCAGCCCAATGTGTGTCCCCTCTGGATGATTGTGGGGCAGTAAGGAATCTACTGAGGTGAGGTCAGGAGGAGACCCACCTGGGGTAGGGTAGTCTGTATGTCCAGCCCAGGGTTCCCTTCCATGCCCAGAGGAAATCTCTCCGGGAGCGTTGGCTAATGGATGGGGCCGCTGAAGGGCCACAGCAGCCCGAGGACCCCGGCTCCAAGGACCCCCAGTCGCCGGAAGGCCAGGCTCAGGCTCGCATCAGAAACCTAGAAGACAGCTTGTTCACGTGAGTGTCCGCCACCCTCCCCCCCCCCCCGCCCCCGTGCCCAGCCAGACCTCTGGATCACTGGGGAAGGGGGCAAATTGAGTTGAGGACCCAGCACCCAGCAGCCTGCTTCTCTCCCTCAGACTCCAGAGTGAGCTGCAGCTGTTGCAAAGTGCGTCCACAGGTGCCCAGCACAAACCCTTGGGTAGGCTCACCTGGCGCAGACAGGTGAGGAACTAAGAAGTGGTGGGGAGGGGAGGGGGTGTGGCCTTCTCCAAGAGCCCTTCAGCGCCATACATTGAACCCACCTCTTGCTACTTCTTTGCTTGGAGGGGGTCGGCAAGTAGGTTTCCCTGCCTCAGTTTCCCCATCTCTAACGTGGGAATAGCAACAGCACACCGTGGAAGCACCCCTGGGAGCGTCCAGGAGATCATAGCACTGGTAGCAGGCACAGGGAAGTTTTGGATTTGGGTTGTTAGTATGGTCCTGTTGAGGAATGTCAGCAGAAAATGTGGGCAGATGTCCCTGGGATCCGGCCTTGGAAGTCAGAAAGGGTCACCAGAGATATAATGATTGTCTAAAAATGAAATAAAAAGGGTTGGGGGTGTGACGCAATAGCAGAGCAGTGCCTGGATGTCCAGTGCCCTTTGTTACATCCCTGGTTCAGGAAAAAAATAACAATACTCTGGCTCTCTAGGTTTTCCTTGAAGTCCAAAAGATTCAGCAAGGTTCACACCCGTCCGCAGAGGGCTGGGTCTTCCACAGTGCCACCCCTCCTGTCTTCCCTTAGCCCCAGGAGCTTGCTGGGTGCTGGGTTGGGGGGAAGCTCTTGTTGGGGTTGGGGTCGGCCGGCCGTTCCTGGCTGGAGATGGGCAAGGTTTGGTCTGGGCCTCGGGGAGCTCACGGTCTAGGGGAGGAGACAGGTACGGAGCTGTGAGGGGGCAGCCTGAGTGTGGAGGGTCACCCAGGGGAGGCCGACCTGGGGAACTGGGGGTGGAGCCCAGCCACAGAAGGCTTGCCTGGCATGGGTGAGGCCCCGGGGGTCTCAAAAGCATCAGTAAGTTAAAAGGAGAAGTGACATCTAGGTTGAATTTGCAAAGAGTGGAAAGGACAGTCCTGACAAAGGCCTGACGGCTGGAAAGAGGAAGATGGAGTCAGAGACTGAGGCCATCCTTGGAGCCGGGCCTAGGTCGCCTGCAGAGCTGTTGCCTGCTGCCCTGCCTGAGCCCATCTTTCTCCTCTTAATCCTTTGTTTCATTCCAGCCACAATGACCCTCTCTTCTATTCCTCTAACTTGCCTAGCTCATGGTGGCCTCAGGACCTTTGTACTTGCTATTTCCTCTGCCTGGAATGCCTTTCCCCACCTCTTGACTCCCGACTGCTTCATCACACCCTTTGGGTCTCTGTTCTGTCACCTCTATCGGGAGGCCCTCTGCATTTAATACCTACAGGAGGCCCCTTCTCGCCTCCCAGCCACTCCCTAGCTCCTCTTCCTGACTTTGTGCCTCTCCATAACCCTTCTCACTGCCTGGCATGATCTATTTCTTTATGTTTATGTTTCTTTGTTCTTGTTTTTATGTTGTTGTTGTTGTTCCGGTGCCAGGGATTGAACACAGGGCCACTCGACCCCTGAGCCACCTCCACAGCCCTATTTTGTGTTTTATTTAGAGACAGGGTCTCACTGAGTTGAGTAGCGCCTTGCTTTTGCTGAGGTTGGCTTTGAACTCGCGATCCTCCTGTCTCAGCCTCCCGAGCCGCTGGGATGACAGGCGTGTGCCCCCCGCGCCCAGCTTATGCCTGTTTTTCACCTCCTTCCTTCACTGAAATGAGTCCAATAACAATAGTCTTGAGCGTCATCGTTGTGTGCCCTGACCCAGTAGCTGGCAGAGGAGGCCCCTAACACAGGGATCATCTCTGTGAGCACAGCCTTGTCGAAGCACCTGTCGTGTGTGACCTGCAGCAGTGGGAGACACACAGGCTCGGGAGGCTGAGGGGAGGGGCACTGGCCCGCAGGGAGGCTGGAGGAGGGGACAGGGCCCACCTGACCTGGTCTCTGTCCTCCCTGCAGAGTCACCGTCCTGTCTCCCAACCCACCATGGAGGCGGGTCTTGCAGGTGGGTGTTGGAGCCCCAAGGGATGAGGAGGAGGGTCACTTGGTCCTTCCTTGCCCTGACCTGCCCTTTCCTCTCCTCTCCTGACCTACGCCCAGGCCAGTCTGAGCCGGACAAGAGAGCTTCCCTGCCCACTGGACTGGTGGGCGCATCCCCAGAGGTCCCCTCTGAGCCCCAGGAGGAGGCTGCGGGGGTTCTGCCACCACAGAGGCAGGTTCCTGGGGCCGTGGGGACCTCCCCAGAAGCCAACGGCCCCTGCCCTGGACCCAGCCCTGGCAGGGAGCAGGAGTGGAGCCTGGGGGCGGCGGCGGCAGAGCAGGGTGTGGTGGAGGCCAAAGGAGCGGGCGTGGTGGAGGTGGTGTGGGAGGGCCTGCGGGCCCCGGAGGACTGTGCCACGGGGACCTCGGGCCTGGAGCTGGAGGCTAGGGTGGAGGAGGTGGTGCTGGAAGCCATTGGGGACAGGCAGGGGGCTGGCAGCACCGAGCTCCCAGCCTGGGTGAAGGAGGACAGGGGTGTGGCGGAGGTGGTCTGGGAGGGGCTGGGGGGCACCGAGTCGCAGGCCGGCGGGGAGGTGGGCCCAGAGGCCATATTGACCAGCTCGCCAGGGCTCCGGCCGCGACTGCAGGGAGATGCTTCCCAGGAGGGAGAAGGTGCTCCCCGGGGCAGCCCCGAGGGCGAGGGGCAGGGGGGCTCTGGAGGAGAGGAGGGGTCCTTCATCTGGGTGGAAAGAGCGACTCTCAGCGAGGACTGGGAGGAGCTGCTGATGGAGGGGCTGGAGGGGCCCGTGGTGACAGAGGGAGGAGGCCAGGAAGCCTGGGAGGGGGGGAGGAGGCGAGCAGAGGAATCCCCGGGGGCGGGAGGTGAGGAAAGTGAGGCAAAGCCAGGGACAGGGAGGGACACAGCTGTGAATGCAAGTGAGGGGCTACAGCAGCCAGAGGGAGGAGGAGGTGAGGGAGAGGGAGAGGCTGAGGAGCCTTTGGGCACTGAGATAAAAGATGGTGAAGGACCCTTGAGGGCCGAGGAGGACAGGGGCCAGGAGAAGCCAGAGGCAGAGGAAAGAGCTGAGGACCCGTCCAGAGTGGAGAGAAAAGAAGTCGGGGGGCCTTTGGGGACAGAGAAGGAAAGAAGGGAAGAAAAGCAAGCAGCACAGAAAGAGGAGGAGGAAGCTCTGGGAGTGGAGGGAAAAGGAGGTGAGGAAGTGCCAGGGGCAGAGAGGGAAGGAGAGGAAGTCTCACAGGTGCAGAGAAGAGGAGGTGAGGAAGCACGGGAGGCAGAGAGGGAAGAAGGTGAGGAAGCCTCAGGGGCACAGAAGACCCAGGGGTCTGAGGAAGAGCTGAGCTCAGGAGGGCAGAGGGAGTCTGGGGAAAGGACCGAGTCCCAGGGGGAGGTGAGCGAGGCCGGGGCCACCCTTGGGGTCAAGCAGGAGCCAGGGCCAGGGGAGGGACCGCGGCCCCTGGAGAAGCAAGGAGCAACCCTGGAGGAGGAAGCCGGGCAGCTCCGAACCCCTGCGGAGAGCCAGGGGCCCCCGGGGGACACCATGCCCCTCCTGAGAGCCAGCCCAGCCCCACAGCAGCCCACCGAGAGGCAGCCTCTGCTCCAGCGGGGGAGGCCCAGAGCCAACCCCAGTGCCCACCCCGCGCCCACCTATGCACCCGCCCGGCAGCCTGAGCCGGCCGCCCCGGCCGAGGGCGAAGAGGCAAGGGGCCCCAAGCAGAAGACGTGCCAGTGCTGCGCCCTGATGTGAGCCCGCGCCCCCAGCCCTCGCCCGGCTCCGGCCACAGCTACCTCACCTCTTGGCACCCGGCAGGGGGTTCCAGGCACAGACGGCCCCACCAGACCAGCCCCCACCAGACCAGCGGGCCTGCACGTCCACCTGGCCCACTGCCTGTGACCCTGGCTCCCGTCTGTGACAAAGCCTTTATACTTGAAAATAAAACCTTAAAGCACTCGGACAGCTTGAATGTGTGCGTGGTGTTAGCAAAGAATCATTCATCGTCCCCTGGGGGGAAACTGAGGACGCGCTTCCCCTCGGAGCCAGCGAGAGGCCAGAGTCAGTCCGCAGCAAAAACACCTCAGGCTGCAGTAGCTATTAGGACACAAGCGTTGATTGTGGCCCCGCTCCACGCGGTCCCTCAGGGATTCAGGCTCGGATCCACGCAGTTTTCTCTCATGTCCCCTGGGGTGTGGCCCCAGCGAGCGCCTGTGCCAGCTCACAGGAAAGAGAACAGGTGTAGAGAAGAACCTCCACCAGGGTTTTAAGGCTGCCCACGTGATGTTGGCACAGGGCACTTCTGCTCAGGTTCCGTCTGCCCCCACCCTGTTGTCAAGACCTCAGTCCACGACTGACCTAGCTGCAAAGGACCGTGCCCAAGTGCAGTTCTGTTCTGGCAGGACACACTTCCGGAGGCAGCGGCGGCGGCTCTCGGATTGCATACATTTTCTCTCACTTCCTCGTCCATTCCCTGCTGGGGCTGGACCCTTCTCTGAAGGGGTCCTTCAACCTCAGCGCTTCCTGGCTGGGTGTCCTCAGACAAGTGACTCAGCCTCTCTGAGCCTCAGTGTCTTCATCTGTCAAGAGGTTTAACCCGGGGCTGGGGAGCAGCATCCATGAGCACCCTTCTGGCTTGTCCTGCAGCCCCCAGCTTGGGGCAAGGTTCAGACCAGATCTTGAAACTTGGGGGGCCTCAGGAGGCCCAGTTCCTCTGGTGTGGGCAGGAAATGTTTCTCATACCCAGAGTGAAGTGGGGTGGGGGACTGGGGGGGCTCCTTAGGTGCTGGTGGCTCCATCTCCTCTACCTTCAGGACAGGCAAGTCAGTCAGAGGGGGGGCCTGGCACACCTCCTGGGAAGAGATGAGACTGAGACCCTCTCCTCCTATCCCCCCACTTCCTCACACCCCCTGTCCGGGACCCCTAACTCCCCAGAGGGCTCTCCCAGCTGACCTGTTTGGGGTGTTCAGCATCAGGGACGGAGCCCAGGCCGCTGGACCACGGAGCCACGCGCCAGCCCTTCTCTTGACCCAGAGTCTGGCTAAGGTGCCAAGGCTGGCTTTGAACCCGTGACCCCCGCTCCGCCCCAGGAGTACCTGGGATTCCGGAGCCCCCTGGCGCCTGGCACAGTGGGCGGGCGCTTACCTCCACGTGGGTCTGCCCGGCGCTGCTGTTGGCGGGGTCAGGAACCTTCTCCCACACCCAGTGGGGCAGCACCTTCTGTCGCAGGTGGAGGCACCTGTGAGCAGGGAGGAGTCAGAGCAGCTGTCCCTGTGGCCAGAGGCGGGCCCAGGGGCAGAAACCGGGCTGTCACAGACCGCAGGCCTCCTCCCAACCCCCACGGGAGCTCAGCTGGTGCCCGCGCCAGGCACCAGGGCAGAGACCCGCGGGCCTGACCCCTCACCTTCGAGCCATGACAAGGCTCAGGCCGCAGCCCACCAGGAGCAGCCCCCACAGGGCCAGGACACCCGGCAGAACTCTCCATGGCACCGTGTTATCTGGAAGGTGGGAGGAGAGACCGTGTGGACACCAAGGAGGGACAGGCCCACGCCGAGGCAGGGCCTGGGGAGGGGAGCAGCGGGCAGGGCCCGATGGGAAGGGCCTAGGGAGGCACAATCCCGGGGCGGGGGTGTGGCCTCGAGGAGGGCAGGTCAGGGTCAGGTGTGGGGTGAAGCTGCAGGTCACTCGCCTGCCTGAGTGTCACCACAGCATTCAGCAGACTCGAAAGGCCTCCAAGGACTTGGGGTGCTCCGTGGCAGAGCACCCACCTGGCATGCACTGGGGTCTGGGTTCAGCACCCCTAAAAAATAATCCTCCCCATCAAGCAGAAGGTTGTCCACCCATTGCGGTCTGTGTAGTGACTCTAGTGTCCCCTACCCTCCAATGGAGCCTGCAGTTCCACCCCAGGCCCCTACCTGGTAGGTGAAGCCAGAGGCTGGGGCCAGGTGGGCCCTGTCCTGCAATGGTGGAGGCAGTCACCCACAGCTCACAGGGACCCCAGTGAAGGTTGGGCAGAGTGGCGATCCGGGTGCTGCTGCTCACTGAAGAACACAACCAGAGAGGTTGGAGAGGTGGCAGTTCTGCCTCAGGACCTCGGTACGTGCTCCTTGTTCTGTTGGTGACACTGTCCCCCAGATACCCAGGTGGTTCCCTCCTTCTCTCTCTCAAATGTCACTCCTCAGGGAGCTCTTCCCTGAATACCCCTTTAAAACTGTGCCCCTGCACCCCCGCCACCTTCCCTGCTTCCTTCTCAGCCCAGAGCTCATCACCATCTGGCACACACAGTATTTGGCTTGTCTGTCGGTGGGTCACCCGTTAGAAAGTCAGGTCCCAGGCTCAGGCTGTAGCTCAGCGGAACAGTGGTGCCCAGCCCGCTGGGGACCCCGGGTTTAGTCCCCAGTACAAATGGAAAAAGAAAACAGAAATGATCAAGGGCACGCGTGTGGTCCCGCTACCGGGATGAGGTGTTGGGCCCCGCAGCCCAGGGTCAGCTTGGGCAACGTAGTGAGGCCCTGGACTGAAAACAAAAGTGACTCCTTAAAGGCCGCATTCCCAGGGGCTCTGTCAGCGCCTAGCACACACAGTGACACATCCCTCCCCTGTCTGGAACCCGGTGGGAGTTGGCAGAGGCATTTAGACCTCCCAGAATGACTCTTATTTACTTTTTTAACAAAATGAATTGAGGCTGGACACGGTGGCACATGCCTGTCATCCTATTGGCTCAGGAGGCTGAGACAGGAGGCTTGCAAGTTAGAGGGCAGCCTCAGCCATTTAAGGAGGCCCTAAGCAACTTAATGAGACCCTGTCTCAAAAAATAAAAGGGCTGGGGCTGGGGCTCAGTGGCAGAGCGCTTTCCTAGCATGTGCGAGGCACTGGGTTTGATCCTCAGCACCGCATATAAGTAAATGAATAAAATAAAAGTCCATATACAACTAAAAAATATAAAAATATAAATAAATAAAAAGGGCTGGGGATGGGGCTCAGTGGTTAAGCACCCTGGGTTCAATCTCTAGTACAAAGTAAATAAATAAAAACCTCCTTTTTTTATTTGCTGGGGACTGAAGCCAGGGATGCTCTAACCCGAGCCACACACACCCCCGCCAGCCCTTTTTATTTTTCATTTTGAGACAGGGTCTCACTGAGCGGCCCAGGCTGGCCTCCAACTTGTGATCCTCCTGCCTCAGCCTCCCGAGTCTTTGGGATTACAGCCATGCACTACCGCGCCTGGCTTCAATACCGGTTTATTTTACCAAAAAAGGAATCATATCAGAGTTTCATAATCCTTTTATCTTTTCCACTTAATAAAATATGTCAGGCATCTTTCATTGTCAATAAATATAGATTGGAGTCTTCATTTTTAATGGCCCAATGAGAGGCCATTTCACTGATAGCCAAGAGGGTTATTGTCCCTTAAGGAACTAATGACATCATGTCCCCGTGGGAGGAGGGGGAGCACAAGGGGCCCGTGTGGGCCAGGGGACATGGGGCAGGAGGCAGCAGGCTCACCATTGGTGCAGTCGCAGGGGTTCGTCCCACTTCTTGAACACAACGTGTAGTGAGTAAGGTGGCCCTGGAGCTGGTGTCTTGGGACCTCCTCCCACGCCACCGTGGGAGTCCCTGGGGGGTCATCCTGGAGTCTCCAAAGGGTCGGCCCTGCCAGGGGTGCTGGGGAGAAGTCCGGTAGGTGGAAGCTTGCTGGGGTCCCAGGACCCCCCCAGCCCTCCAGCCTCATTTCCTACCTCGTTCCTCCCGGAAAGCCCAGACCGAGGAGGCGGGGGCCAAGCCCCCAGGAAAGACCGCTGTCACTGTGATCCGATAGGGCACCCCTCCTTTGAAAGTCCCTGGGAGGCAAAGGGACAAAAAGCGATTTAAAGCCGGCTTTCCCTCCCTGCCCACTTCCCACTTGGGAGTGTCTTCACTGGGTCCCCAAAGGACACCCTGGGATGGGGACTGGGGTGTGGTCTATGGAAGGCCACCCAGAAAAACCAGGAGGGCCGTGAGAAGGGACGAGGAGAGGGAGAGGGAGAGGGAAGGGCCAGCAGACCCTGGTGAGGGGCCGCTCTCTGTCCCTGGGCCTGACCCCCAGCAGCCCCAGAGGGGAAAGGAGGAGTCCGGTCCCCAGGGGGACCACCGCGCTCAGTGCCGCTGGGAACCTGTGGGGGCAGCAGAGAGCAGCCGGGTTCTCCCCACCGCGGATGACCATGACGGTCCACGGATGACCATGACCGTCCACGGATGACCATGACCGTCCCTGGCTGCGCCGCCGAGGGTCCCCCTCCCCAGCACTTCCTGCCCCTGACCAGAGAGCGGCCTCGGCCAGGAGGCGCGGACTGGGCGCTCGCAGGGGAGACCTGGGCGGGCTGGGCAGCGCCCCGTGGTCGGGGTGCCCTCGAGGTCCCGTCGAAACCCGCGGCTTCTGCACAGCGTCCCCGAGCCAGGGGTCTCAGGGCCGGGGTCCTTCCCCGTGGCTCAGGGGTACTCGTGGGCCATGGGACTGTCCCAGCTTTCTCACTCGCGGCCCTACTGTCCCCCCGGGTGCTGCATCCCACAGACGGCTCCCAGGACCCGCTCAGACCCGAGGACCCGGCAGACCCAGGACAGGCTCCCGTGGGGGGCCGCGGACGGACAGGCGTCTCAGATGCGACACACAGAAGCCCCGCCAACCAGGACCCCCTAACCTGAGCCTGCTTGCTTCTCCCCCAACCCGGGTCCCCACCTGATCCCGTCCCACCGTTTCCCTCCCCAACCTTCAGCTCCTGCCCTTCCCCGCCCCACAGTCCCTTCCCCCCAGAGCAGCCAGAGGGCACCTGTGAGCACTTGGGTGAGGGCACTTCCCTCCTCCGTTCAG